GGGGGGGGGGGGGGGGGGCTCGTGCGCAGGCAGGCAGGCAGGCAGGCAGGCGGGCGCGCAGCCGGCCGCAGCCAGCCACCTGATTCGGGCGTCCAGGTTGCGAGCCAGGCACACAAACACGCCCGCTGGGCCCGCAGACTTGACGTAGCCGGCCACCTGTGCAGGTGTGTGGGGTGGGGTGGGAAGCATGGGCAATGCTTTAGCGGTGGAAGATGCAGGCTGACACGCATACACACCCGAAGACACAAGCCCTTGCAACCCAGGGACCCACAACAAGCCTGCTGATGGGGCGGGCCCGCCACCCCGCACCTTTTGCCCGGGCTTGAGCTGCGCCGGCTGCAGCTGCCCCGCCGCCACCTCGGCCCCTGCGCCGCCCTGCCGCCGCTGGGCGGCGCCGTGCGCGGCGCACCGCCCGCCCGCCGACGGCCGCAGCGACAGCAGCAGCTGGCCGGCGGCGGCGCCGCTGCTCCTGCCGCCCCTCTTGCGCCCGCTGGCTTCCTGGCCGCTGTCGGGGCTGGCAGAGGTGTCGGGGCCCAGCACTACAGCCTGGCAGTACTGCCCCGCCTGCAGCCCTGCCAGGCACTCCTCCACAGCCCCGTCGTGGATGTCTGTCAGCGCCACGCGGCCCACGCTGCGCGCGCTGAGCCGCACGCGCACGCCGCCGCCCCCCACCGCGCTCACGCGGCCGAGGGCCACGGTGCCGGGAGCCGGCGCGCCCGCCGCCGCTGCTTCAGATGCCGCTTCGGGAGCTGCCGGGAGCAGGGAGACGTCCAGAGCTTTGCGCTTCTTGTCCACATGCACCACGGTGGCCTGTGGAAAGCAAGTGGAGGGCAGCGGGGGACGTTGGTGGCGTTGGTGGTGCCAGACTGGCAGCAGCAGGTGGCCAGACACAGCAGGCAGCGCTTGCGGTCGATGCTGCTGCAGGCAGGGTTCGCTTCTGCTGCAGGCAGCACAGGGGCGGGCCTGCAGTGTGCTGAGCAAGGGTAGAGCCACACCTGCACCGGCTGCCCGGGCTTGAAGCGCTTGCCCAGCCGCTCGCACTCCTCGATGCTGCTGGCCGCCTGCACAGCCGGGCAGGCAGGCAGGGCAGGGCGCACGTTGAAGGGTGGGGGCTGCCGCGGAGCTGGCTGGTGCGCAGCATGAGGTGTGCAGGCAAGGCGGGAACGGTCGGATGCGGTGATGAGGAAAACCAGAAAGAAGAGGGAGGCACAGCGAGCTCTCTCGAGAGGGTGAGGGCGATGGGAGTATCTGGGATTCCGCGCCTGCCCGGGCCGCAGAGGGGCAGCATCCGGGCACGCCGGGCACGCTACCCAATCCGCTCTGGGCAGGCTGTCAGTGTTGCGACCGTGCCATGGGGAGGGCAGGCGAACGACTCTAGATGGCCGCCGGTGTGGGTGTGTGCATGGTGGTAGGAACATCCTAGCGGTTACCAGCTGCACTGCCCCCTGTATGGCAGCCAGTGGAGCAGCATGCAGCCCCCGCACCTGCGTGGCAAAGGCGCGGCCGCGGACGGAGGGGGAGAAGGCGCACCACACGTGGCCCTGCTGCACGTCTTGCACATAGCTGCAGGCAGGGGGAGGAGGTGGGGAGGCAAGGTGGGGTTTCGGATCGTCTGCCAGCACGGGCACGCACTTGCACCCAGCACCGGCGCGGCAGCGGCGCTGCGGCAGCAAAACAGCTGTGCAGCAGCTGCAGACGGCGCTCACCCTTGCAGCTGCTGGCCCGGCCTGAGCGCCGCCAGGGCGGGGCAGGGGTGCCGCGGCAGCGCCTGCCCCGCACGCGCAGCCGACACCGCCTCGGGCCGGCTGCTGCACTCCAGCACCGAGTGCCGCCGCCCCTCTGCCGTGGTCACCCGCCCCAGCACCGCGACTGCCAGCTTGTCTCCAGTGAAAGCGCGGCCAACGGGCTGCTTGATGCGGCATCGGCCGCGGGGGATGCTTCCGTGATGTGCAGCCTGCCGTGGCAGCCGTCACCTAGGTCCAGGTCGGCATGCAGAGCATGCACAGCGCCCACGGTAGCTTCCACGCAGCTGCCGGTGGCGTGCTGCTGCATCCGCTGAGCCTGCTGCTTGTCGCTCTGTGGCCGCTTGGCTGCGCCGGTGCCGCCCGCCGCTGCCGCGGGCTTGACGGGCTTGCCGCCCACCGGCGCGGCCAGCAGCAAGCGGCCGCCGGTGGCGGGGCTGGGGAGCGCCGCCACGCTGGCAGTCAGGCTGTCCCCTGGGCGGGGTGGTTGCTGGTGCTGCTGGTACTGCAGGTTGAAGTCGGTTGTGGGCAGGAAGCCCAGCAAAGGGGAGCCTGTCGGGGAGCCGTCTGCCGCGGGCAGCGTCACCACACAATACCCGGCCTCCTCCTTCACCTGCACACGCAGCGGGCACGGGATTCAGAGAATGCAGGGGTCCAGGCTGCTTGCATGGATGGCAGGCGCACCCGCGCAGCGCATGCTGCGAGCGCTGTGCTCTGAAAGCTCTTTGGCATCGCAGCTCACCAGCTCCACTTTGCACTCCAGCCGCTGCCCCTCCTTGAGCTCCGCCGCCGCCGCCGCCTTGCCGCCCACCGCCGCCTTCTTCTGCTTCTTCTTCTTTGGCGCGGTTTCGGCGTCCGCGGCGGCCGCCGCGGCCTGCGCCGCCGCCACCAGGCGCGGCTGCAGGGACAGGTCCACCACCCCCTCCCGCTTGTTGGCATCCAGCACAACCGCCCGCACGCTGGTGCCGGGCTCCCGCGACGCTCCCGCCGGCATCTGCACCGCGAGCAGGGGAGGGTCGGGGGGAACATGCAGAGGGAATGGATGAGCCACAGGCCGGCAGAGGACCAGCGCAGGCTTACCACGTCGGCAGCCGCCAGCTGCCAGCTGCATGCCCACCAAATGCCGAGCACACAGCACATACAGTCATCCAGCAGCAGCCCCCCTTCTCACCTGGTGCGGCGCCACCAGCCCCACCACGTCGGCGTGCGCCTCCAGGTCGCAGATCAGGCCGTACCCCTTGGCCTCGTGCACCTCGCCTGGGGCTGCGGTACAGGTGAGCAGTACATGCAGACGGGTGCATCATAGGAAGCTGCCAGGCGGGGGCACAGCCCAGCAGAAAAAGAGGGACGGGCGAGCATGGCATGCGTGCGGATGAGGGGCCGCCGGCATGAAACAAGCCGCAGCCACGGCACCAGCGCTCACCGATGCCGCCGATGGCAAAGGCGGCCCAGTCCACGTCGGCAGCGTCGTTGCTCAGCGCCTCTGCCGCCTCCAGGTCGCTGCAGGGCGAGGACAGGTTCACAGTGGAGCACAGGGTGCACGGTTGGTTGGTGGGCTGCCCGGCTGCCTAGTTCAGCGTCATCCATCAATGCTGGCCACCTCCTTATATGTGCGGGCTGCTGCAGGCTGCAGGCTGCGGGCGCACCTGAACAGGGACTGCAGGTAGGCGGCGTCGCGGCTGCCGCACAGCGACTGTTTGAGGGCGACGCTGAAGCGCTGCCGCTGCGCATCCACCTGCGGGCCGGGGAGAGGGGGGGGGGGGGGGGGGC